TGTCAGTGGCACCGCAGAGCCCAATACCAGTGATCGTGTCTATTATATCAGTGGTGCCGTGTCGGGGGGAGTGCTGGTTGGCATTGCTTTGTTACTTGCTGTGTATTTTCATAGAAGGCGATCGGATTCMTCCGGRATATATACGCCAGGTRAGTTAGATAACATTGGTGGGCGATCTTATCTTCAACAAGTATCGCTATATTCTATCAAGATCCAGAAACGAGCGCAAACTCCTCGTCCCTCCTCAATGTATTGGTTATTTCAATATGGTTCTAACTCTACTATTTTTTCTTCGTCAACAGATCCTATGAATACAAAATATGACACGTCCATTATATTCAGCTCGAAAGACGAAAAATTCATCGTGAAAAAACTTTTACCATTTCTTGAAGGAGAAAAGCATTTCAAATGTTGCGTTCATTTCAGGGACTGGGAACCAGGTAAATAATGCATTTTTTGTACGTGAGGGACTGGACATTAATTATCAGGAAGAGGGTTTGAGAATCAAAAGTGAAAGGGAAAGGAGGCAAAAGTCTAAACTGTGTTCAAAGAGGATGTAGACAACGATGTTTACGTTTATGCTCCTAATGCTCAACATCTTCTGAAATCATTTGAAAATTAATTCATTAAAGCTCTWTTCAGGACAAAGTTTTTCTGAAAAAAAAGATAAATTCGTCATGACAATTTAATGATTTGAATTGAAAGTAAATTGGCAATACGTGACTCCCTGGAAGTTTGATGATCGTACGTTATTTCATTAAGGAGTAAAAAAAGGCCATTTATAGATACACGTGAAATAAAGTGAMGTGAATTCCTCTTTCAGTTATGGTAGGGAGGCTTGACATTATACACTTAATGACTGTTCCCAAGGGARACGGTTAGTTTTGTTTCCCGAGAATCTCAATGTTTCCCGAGGTACGCCGTTTAAATTACATTGTACTTGAGAATAAAACTAATATAAATATACAGATGCCAAAAAACTAGCAAACCTTTATGAATAAAACGGTCAATGAGTTCCTGAATAGAAATTWAACGTGACATTTGTCCAAATTCACCGTTTCTCTCTTGGTTTCTCTGCAGAATTCTATCAGAGTCGTAGCCAAAGCAGTATTTGTAGCTTTAGTGTTTTCCAAACTAAGATTTGAAAATCTTTTTTGATGCCGGCTCCATTTCGTAAACAGAAGCAGCAAAAACCATTCCCGCCTTTACAAACTTTTACTCGACGCGAGGCGGCCTTTTCCCGCCAATGGCCAAGCGGTCAACAATCGTCAAACTGTTGACCGAYTAGTCAGCAGTTGATTTTAGCTCCGGACACKTGACACCGAATCGTCCAATAAGAGAGCGAGAAAACAGTGAAAATAATTTACCAATATAACAATATCATTTGCGYCACTCCCTGATAGTTATTGCCCAATCGATCGATCCCTAACAAGTCATTGTGATTATGTCCTTAAACATCTTACGAWAATGTGAATTATGTTTGTTCCAGGTGAAGTCGTTCCCACCAGCATGGCAAAAATGGTGTACAACTGTAAAAAAGTCATAGCCGTAATATCGAAACATTTCCTGGCCAGTAATTTTTGCCAGGAAGAACTAAATATGGCGTTAGGTCGACTCGCCCACCAAGGAGACTCATCTCTTATTGTTATAAATCTTGATGGTGTTGCTGTGGAAGAACTTCCACCAGCTTTACAAACAAGAACATTTTTAGATTTGACGAGTTCAACAGAAAAAAAGACTTGGAGAACAAGACTTGAAAGACAAATAAGCGCGGAAAACTCAAGGATAGTTTATAGCGATATATTTGAAGATGATAATAAGAGAAACAGTGAGAGGCTTCTTGAAAGAGAAGAGACGTCTAGTGAAAATACCGTCGGGAGGTTATATATTAGTGGTGGCTACAGTCATRTTAATGATTGTAGTACATCTAGTAATAGTGAAAGTAGTATAGSTATTCAGGTATAARCAAACTGGGCTCTCAGAGCTAGTTGAATTSACAGCATCAGTGCTGCGATAMTAGTTGCCCGCTAAAACTGGATGTTCCGAAAAGTAAAYAGTTGCTAAAGAAAGCTGTTCGAGGGCAATGAAGTTTTGAGGAAGAACATCCAAGAGCAACAATCAAAGTAAAATACCACAGAAAATTCAAGATAGATAGATAGATTTGTGTAWATAAATCTGAATTACAGGCGAGTAAGCTTTTAAAACAGCTCTATTGTTTTTATTTTTCGACTTTTGRTATTATCACTCCACGGCGGTCACTATCAGGTGGTCRACTCTCCACCARTTAGAGTGRAGGAAATTAGCTGWWWAWTWWWA